TTTAATCGTCAACATAATTTGACGCAAATATATTTCGCAATTTATTATATGCAATAGGGAATGGGTCACTGTGGAATGTCTTGGTGACGACAAAATATACAACAGTACAACTTAAATAGACGCAGTTTATTTGATCACCTATTTTGTTTATTTAAATCAGAATGTGTTTGTCATCTGTTGTATACTCACTGCTGTTTGCGTATTGTACAAGTATCTCCGCGTGTGATGCGGCTCTTAAACTATTTTGGTCAAAGACAAAACATTTATAATCTTTTGTTAAAAGGTTGCCGACCCCTGCGCTAGATATGACCGAATTCTTCGGATTATAAGACGCGTTGGAAAGTAATACGCGCCCACAATGTGTGCACGGTGTCCATAAAATCATTAATACCTGTTGGCACGCGCAGCACACACCTCCTGGACTTCGAAGATGCATCCCGCAACGTATTTTTAAATCCTTTATATTAAGTTCGCTTGCTTGCTTAGGACCGTGCAAATCTTTCAGTCGTTTTTCCACACAGACTCGTTGTGCGTGACAATTAATGTTCGTGAAAAAATTTTCCCAAAATTTTACACTTTTTAGGACAAAAATATTATATTTAATTACCAATTGCTTAATGGTGCAATGCAATCATCTGACCCATAGGTGGCAGCCATCTCAAGCCAGAGGACGAGAGGACTCTAGCCGCCACGCATATAAAGGATTTATACGGGAAAACTTTGTTTTTACTGGTTATACTTATTCGTTTTTAAAATATACGGCGAATGAAGTCTCTCACAATAGGGAGAATACGGTAAACTGCTCCTGAATATCGGCTGAACGGAGTGTGCGGGTTGCCGTTCCGACTCGGCGATGCGATCATTTATATTCCAGTTCACGCTTGCCCCGGAATACATTTGCGAAGGCACGGTGACTCGATGAGGCAACGCTGCGTCAGTGAGCAATCATCATTGACTTCCAGGTGCCTTCCCTGCGGCGATGCGCGTGCGTCATGTACACACGCGTAGATCGCTCAAAGTCACGGCGGCCAACTCGCTAAATGAAGTCACTGTAAACGCAGCACGGAGGAGTGATTATAATGCAGCGCAAAGCATATAATCATCGTCGTCGTCGTCATCAACAGCCATGTTTCATCCACTGCCGGACGAAGGACCTGCCCATGTCGGAGCGCATCCTCTCGCGGTTTCACGATGCCACGTTCCGTATCGCGTCTGGAAATTAGCTGAAAAAATCGCGGCGGTCGTCCATTCGGGCGTATGGCAACCAAAGAACAATGATTTGGTGGCATGGTTTTGTCTCTGGGTGGTTACTTTGTTTTTTTTTATGCTCCACAACCCACTCTTTAACGCAATTAACCACACATCACGTTGCAGAGCCCTCCTGAAAATAATTTTGAGACTCGCTAAGATTTTCCCTACGCATTATAGGCATTGTTCATATTAAATATACCTACAAATTCGTTCCCAAAAGTCGAAGACACCAGATTACAGCGAGAACATGTTTACTGTATGCTCTGACTGGGCCCCGTTATAGCAATATGGAATTTCCACCACTGGCCCTCCAAGCTCTAAACAGGAGGCCAGTGCCTCCACATGTTTGTTTGAGCGAGATAGCACGAGTTTCTTTAGTTTGATAATAATAATAAGCAGTTTCCTAGCCATAATAGAGTAATGTTGTGGACTGGCCTTAATAGTATTTTTCAGGGGGTCCCAAGCAGCGGTACCCTAATCATACCTTGTAAATCACTTACTTTCCAATTATGTGGCCCTTAATGAATCCGCTTTTTACGAATTAAAACAATGTTCTCATTTATTTTCTACCCTGTTGCTTAAATTAATTCATTTGAAACGTAACTAAGCACACACAAATCCAGAAACTGTTTTAATCTTCATTTGCACTCACTTCTAAAGCAGGTGAGTGCATCATTTGTTTGGTTCTCCCAACCCTTCTTTGACTTTATTAACAATATCAACATTCAGTCTGTTAATAAAAGCATAGAGGGCTCGGGAAGGACGCGCCATGGCTATATTAGATCAGATCCAATGGCCACTAACAATGATAATGACGGCAGTGGCAGCCATGGAAGTGGACGCGTTTGAGAAAAATCGTCCTCCAAGGAGATGGAGCGATGGAATCAGCTCGTGGGGCAGAGCTGTGTGAATTATTACATCGTACTCGCATGAGTGATGTCGACAGTTTGGAAAGGCCTTCATCCCGCAGAGAATTGATCATGGCTGCTCCTGCTGCTCATGATGAAATGGACAGAGGCACTGGGTTCCCAGTAAGCATTGGAAGTAGCTGTGCGGATTCCAGTAAAATGCGTTCGTCGAGGTCAAAGGTCGGAAACCAAAATAACTAGAAGAGTAATTTTTGTCGAATTCGGTGGAGAAATTTTTTTTTAAAAACCCTATCAATATGTCAAGAGCCGCCAATGCATGTGCATGCGAGACGGTGGCCGTTGATAGATACACGCCACGTAGCAGTCCCTAAAGAGCCCCAAGTTGCCGATCCCCTGGCCTAGGCTGAGCGACTTAGCGTGGTGTGATGATTGCTCTGCAGCGTACGTGCTTCGTGCGCGCTGTGATTTACGCGTTGTTGACGATCGCGCCCTCGTTGTCACCGGTGTTTGGCGTCGCTGCTGCTGCGTTGGCAGTGGTGCACAAGCTCAATTAAGGAAAATAACTCAACACATTCGCCAATAACACTGCATTAAGATAACACGTATATACATAAACAAGCGACGCTTTCGCCAACGGCCCTACATAATAGCATGTGCTCTGAAGAAGGGCTTTTACCAGAAACGTTGCATTATATATGTTTACTGTGCTGTATATATATTTGAAGGAAATATTCTTGACAAATGTGAGTTTTATTTTGGAACTGTCTGAGATTGGATGGAATCCGTCACATTAGTATCTATTATTTCACTTGTTTAGCCACTGAAGCCTCACGGAGTCTCACGACTCCTTAGCAGGAGGGTTCTGCCAAGTCGTCGCAGTCGGGAGCGAAGGTTGCTCCGTATAATCGATTGCGATTCAGTAAGTGGGCCTTCTCTTGCGAATTATGTCACGGGATTTTTAACGTCCAGTGTGAAGTAGATGGTGCGTTAGTTTAGTGTTGTTTCCGGAAGAGGCAATGGGCTGTGACATAGCCATGCATCTTTAGAAAAAGGGGGGTGCATAGGGTTGGGGTTAAGGAAACCGTTAGGGTTGAAATATAGGAAGAGGTTTAGGGGTCAGGGATAGAGATGGGGTTAAGCATTTGAATTGAGTTCGAGCTAGGTATAGGGTGCAGGTTAGGAACAGGAATAGAATTAGGGCTGCGGTTAGTGAGCTGGTTATGAATAGCGTTAGACATTTTGACTTAAAACTTTTGTCACTGCAGGAACTCATATTCTTTGGTTCCTTCGGTAAAGTCACGTAGATAGAAAAAAATAAAAGTAAATCAAATAAAAACTACAACGTTTCGATCACAACACAAGCGATCGTCATCAGGAGGAAAAATGGTGGAGGGGGGGGGATCGCTTGTGTTGTGATCGAAACGTCGTCGTTTTCATTTTTTTTTTCCATCTACGTGACTTTACCGAAAGAACCTAAGAATAGGGTTAGACATTTTGGTTCAGGGTCAGAAACAGGGCTATGGATAGGAATAGGACGCGGAATATGAATTGCGGTTGGGACGAAAAATTATTTCGAGGATGTCACTTTTGTGAGTGTTCGGAAAATGGTTCGTGTTCGTAAGGAGGATCGGGTTGTCCTTCGGGTTTATGGTTATTGCTGCTGATTGGTTGCACAGTGTTTTGCGCCTATTAACGTCAAGTTCTCACAACGCCACTGCACCGTTGTTCTGCCCTTTGAGTGAATGTCGACTCGTGATAATTGGCAACGATGTATAAACGCCCATTCAATTAGGAGCGGAACGGCGGTGCGGTGGTTAGCGCATTGCGCTGTGAACCAAAGCAACGTCAGTCCGGGTCCCGGCCGCGGGGTAGGTCGGACCAACGTGGCGACTGATGTAGCTGAACCTGGCGCACGCTCATTCACCACTCGCACTTACCCAATGTGGTGAAGTATGGTCAAACAACCCCCCCGTGACCGAAAAGCGTACGTAGATCCTCATCCAGTCGTGTATGAATAAAATGGGGGGGGGGGGGGGGGGGGGGTTGGGTACAGGTGCATAGGTGGGGAGCGGTAGTGTAGTGGTTAGCGCTATGCTACGAACCTGACGACCCGAGTTCGATTCCCACTCACGAGCAACACAAGTGACGATTATTCTGAGCGAGTCCTGGGCCTCCCCTAGGCCGACTCAGCCTCAAATGACTACCTGGCGCGGTGTGCACACATCACGACTAGGGGACAAAGGCGGCCGGGCTAGGCGATGGCCACCCACCCCCTCGTGTGCCGTGCCAGCCTTCATAGGTGCTCGCTAACAGCACTTGCCCCAACAGTCCGTTAAGGCTATCCGGGGGATCTTCATATGTGTTCATTCATTCAACAATAATAGCGACAAACTAATCATGGTGGCGACGTGCAGCGGCATGGCGTGGTTGGCACGGGCTCTGGTGCCAGGAATAAACAAAACCACCTCCCCCATCCCTTAGTCGCCTGGCGCCTGGGCACCACTCACGACGCGCGCGTTCTCCGGCGCAGTCGCACCGCCTGCACCCTCGATGGCTACGCCACGCGCGAAGCTCACGACGGCTCGTCACGGGTGTTGGAATAACCATCACGCGTCACGTGACGGCGCTGCGTCGCGGAGTAAGTGAGAAGGGAGGGGTGGAGGACGTAGAGGAGGAATGGGGGGGGAGGATGGAGGGATGAGACGGGGGAGGGAGGGAGGAGTGAGAGGCGGATGCCGCCGGACGCAAGGCCCCCCCCCCCACAACGCACGTAGACCACAGATGTCTCCCAAGGCGCGTCGGCTCGCTCAGGGGACGAGTCCTGGATATTGACCGCAACACCATTCCTCTAGCCATTGCCCAGGGACGAGAGAGAGAGAGGGGCGGCGGGGGGGGGACGAGGGGCGGCGAGGGGGGGGACGAAGGGCTGTCTCCAGTTGACGATGAAGACGGGCCTCGTGTGTTGGCAGCCGGGAGAAGAGGACGATGCTTTGTGCGGTGAGGACCGAGAGAAGGAGCATTTGGCTATGTTCGGGACGGACGAGTGGAATGATTGGGGGCGTTTGGCGCTGCAAGGGCTGGCCGTGTATCCGTGGCGGTCGGGTACCCGGCCTTCACGAGGTGCCCGCCGACAATGCTCGCCCCGACCGCGTGTGTGCAGGTTGTACGGAGGAGCTTTGTCTTTGTTGGCGAGCGTGCAGTGCGCGCACGTGCGTTTGCTGCGAGTGTTGTGGCGTGTGCCGTTGGTATGTTGGGGGAGCGGGAGCTTGGTGTTTAGCGCAGCGCGCTACGAAGCCAGCGACCCGAGTTGGATTACCGCTCATGATCAGTGACAGGGATGACTATCTGTACCGGTTCTGGACCCTCCCCTATGTCAACTAGGCCTTAAATGAATACCTGCTGCGGTTTGTAAATATCAGCGCTGGGGAGACAAAGGCGGCCGGGCGTGGTGCTGATCACCTCCAGCCTCCTCGTGTGCGGTGCCGGCCTTCATAGGTGCTCGCTAACAGCACTTGCCCCAACAGTCTGTTAAGGCTATGCGGGGGATCTTTGCTGTGTGTGTTGTTGGAGTGTGTTGATATGTGTATGTTATATGTATGTACGCTTGTGTGTGTTGTATGTTGCGTGGTGTTGGCCACCCACCCCCTCGTGTGCGGTGCCGGCCTTCATAAGTGCTCGCTCACAGCACTTGCCCCAACAGTCTGTTAAGGCGACACGGGGGGTATGTGTTGTATGTTGGCTTGTGTGTGTGTGTGTTGGAATGCGTAGATGGTTGCTTGATACAGCAGTGAAAACTGAAGTGCCATTATTTGACACGATTTTAATACCGCAAAGTTGACACACACAAACAGAATACGCAGTGGAAACATCAGCCGGCCACCAATTAACATCCTACCTCGCGTTTGTTTATGGGAAATGGTGACCGTAGCTCGAGCGAGACGCAAAGTTTGAACAATGTACAATTAAAAAGCAGATCTCCCTGTTGCTTCGCGTGGCCGTAAGTGCGAAATGTTCCACCTGAAATGAATTCCTCAGCCTAATTTAGTGCGTGTTGCGTTGCACGCGTCAGACACCCCGCTTCTGCAATTGGGGACCAAGTCAAGAATTCGCGTGCGCGCGCTTTAAATGGGATTATCAGTTACGTAACGGTGGCTGTTGGAAAGGTTGGAGGAAGGGGGCTTTGAAGGTTGCAAATCGTTTCTCAAGGTGGCAAAGCCATTGAGCGAGATACTTTGTAGGCGTTGTGAGCATCCCCAGCTTTCGTGACTGCAGGGATTCATCTTCTTGGTTTTTTCGGTAAAGTCACGTAGAATGGAAATAATAAAATAATAAAAATAAATCATAATAAAATAATTCTCACGACGTTTCGGCCACAACGCATCAGCCGTCCTCTACTCGACAGACCTGCTCTCCACCTGAGGACGGCTGCTTGCGTTGTGGCCGAAACGTCGTGAGAATTATTTTATTATGATTTATTTTTATTATTTTATTATTTCCATTCTACGTGACTTTACCGAAAGCACCAAGAAGATGAAAATTCATTTCTTGTCAGGTTTTTCTCGTTAAATTTAAAATATATTTATAATGATTGTTATTTGCAGCGAGCTACATGAATCATTTATACCCTGTTCTCAATAAAAACATAATTACAGCGAATTAGTTAAATGCCACGCATCATGCAACGATGGTCACGAACCAGTCTGCTTATCCCTCTTCGCACGAGTGATGGGAATTCTCTGGGATCTCCAGTTTCCTCCGATGCAAAGCTAAACAAACACGAATGGAATTTGGCCAAACTTCCAAATGCAGGGCCGGCCGTCTTGAAACAGAACCTCGACTCAGAGTGAGGCTTTCATGGGTAAATAAAGGGCATAATTCTTCGTATTATTATTGTTTTCTATGAGCTTAATTTATTATTTATGCCCTATTCTCAATTTCAGGAACCTCACCCATAAATCTCTGGACGAGGCGGTAAGCGCGTGTTTTGGGGTACACAATGTACGGAGGTCACAAAGAAGATGGGAGCCTGGGTTTTTTTCAGGATAGTGCCATTTCTAAATAGCAACTCTGAAAGCAGTGTGTGAGTAAAGACTCAAGGACACTGAAATAGCACCGAGGTTCATGCAATTAATTCCATGCGTGCAGGAATTGCCGAGTTAGCTAAGGATGTAAGCAGACAGCAGCTGAAGAGAGAAGGGTCATTTTCTAGCAATCATTTTGTCGGATAAAGAGCGGGTGGCAGAGTGGGAGAGATTGGCTCAGCCCAGCCCAATGAAGTGAACGGGAGAACTGAGAGCTTTGAAGCAGCAATTCAAGGGCTTTGAAGCAACATTTTATCAATCGCCTGGGTCTATATGTCAAGAGGAGCATTGCAAGAAGAGAGGGCACTCAAAGAGCTCGAGTTGAAAGGCAAAACAACATCCTGTTGGGAAGGAAGCAATTGCAGGAACCCGATTACAGACAGGAGAGTCTGCCGTATTTGAGGAATGGGCAACAGGTAAACATTCTTCCGATGACACGTAAAATTCTCTTGGCCACGGCTTTTGCGATGGCATAAAGTGGATTTTGAGAAGGCATTCCGTGAATTCTTACCAGGCGTCTGCTGAATATTGAGAAGGCGACCGTTGAATTTCAAGAAGGCGTCCTGTGAATCTTAAGGCGGAGGCGTCTCGTGAATTTTGCGAGAGGCGGAATTATTCGACGCGACAAGCAGCTGGCGCAATGAGAGGCAGGCGGAGCACCGAGCCGGTTGCGGGGCAGGGGCTGCCGCGGCGAGAGGAGGAAGAGGATGCGGGGGCGGTGGAAAAGAGGGGGCAGAGGGAAGGGGACGGCACCACAGTGCTGGAGCTGCCGCCGATGATGACCGAGGCAGAGGTGCTGCACGTGCTGCGCGTGGTGGAGAGAGACGCGAGCTTGCGCCACCGGGAGACGCGCAGAATCCGGTGAGTGCGGCAATCGCGCGACCCGAATCGCGGAGATCTGCTGTGTACGAGCGTCCGCGGCTGGGAGCCCACGGCGGAGCTGTTTGAGTGTGCGAGGCGGTGAGGCTGCAATGCACCCCCGGGGGGGCCCTTGGATGGGCTGGTGTGGGGTTCAAGGCGCCCAGGCTATGAAGTGGATGGAAGAAATTGGACAGGGCACCGCATGCATTTACAAAAACATTCTAAATGGTACAAATGAGATGGTAAACAAAAACGAGACGCAAAATTAATAATTTATAGTGCGACCGCATGCATTTACAAAAACATTCTAAATTGTACAAATGAGATGGTGAACAAAAACGAGACGCAAAATTTATAATTTATTGAATTAAATTGCAACCGTGAGCCATGGAAATGTATGCAATCTCTGTGAGGGTGAATCATTACGTGCCGAATTACTACACCACGTCGTGCTGGCTTCTCAGGCGGTTGATGCCTGCTCGCTATGGCATACGAGAGGCCCACGATGTTGAGAGAATACGATTCGTGGGCAACTGAAGGGCAGCTCTCCCGTGTGTTTTTGGCTTGTACTGCGTGTTGCTCTCACTCAGCACGATGTCCGACGATTTGCTGCACGTGCAGGGGGCTTCTGCAGGAACTGAATTGAGCAGTTCGCCTTCTCCCTCGGTTATCCACCGTTGCCAGCTGCTGGTGCTGCTGATGCTGCTGATGCTACTGGTGCCGCTGATACTGGTGATTCTTGACGTTAATTGACAAAGCTCCCTGGCGAGGGCAGAAAATTGTCGTTTTGCTTGCTCTGGGAGGAAACCAGCCTACCCACGAAAACAATCTCTGCAGAACAAACGCAGACCAGCGTCTGCATTCCTTTTCCAGGCCCTCCACACCATCCTCACGGCCCAGATTTCCCCTGTGTATCAGGCAAGAGGCGTGCACGACTCATCGTTAGCGGTAAACATGGAACCGTGGACAGTGGGGGAGGCACGAGCACTGGAGTTAAAAAAACCAGATTATTAATCCGCTACATTAGCCTTCTACTCAGAGCCGCTATTAAGCGCCGTTTCTGAAAAGCGTGTTTATTGGTTTCCTTTATGATTGAATGAACAGCAGTGTCAAAGGTGTTGTTATGCATAAACAGCATAATAACACTTTTAGGCTTTTCCTGGAAATGTGCCGTTAGCTGTTGTTAAATGCCACTTAATGCCCACGCATCTGCGTCACGGTGATCTGGTCCGGTTTCGATGAAATATTAAATCTGCCCGCTTTTAGGATCCCGACGAACGGTCAAAAGAGCGCGTCGCATGCGTGCAACCGTGACGGCACGACTCCGGTTCCGTCCTCTCATCCGCGACTTGCAGGCACCTCCCGCGTGCGATTTGACTAACAACAGCAGGGCCCGTTTCTTAAGTCTCATGAATTATACAAGTTCACCGCTAACAACGCTCCTTGCGCACATTCACGGTAATTCATTCGCTCGCTCGATCGCGAGGGGTTTCTCTCCCCCCCCCCCCCAACCGGCTAATGGTACGCCCTCGTAGGGTTTTTTTTTATTCTAAATCATAATAAAATAAGAAAAATAAAACATAATAATTATTTTATTATGTTTTATTTGTATTATTTTATTATTATTATTTTATTATGTTTTATTTTTATTACTTTATTATTTCCATTCTACATGACTTTACCGAAATAACCAAGAAGATGAATCCCTGCAGTCACGAAAGCTTTAAATCGAAATCATAATAATCCTCAGCTGCTGCCACACCGGCCCGCCCCTCCCCGCCGCACATCGCATCACCCCCCCCCCCCCCGCGGCGGCCTCACACCTGGGCAGATAAATCAAGGTGGCTCGCTGACTGCGCACGCGCGCGCACGTGAGTGTCACGAGCCATCTGTTGGAACACCTCGACCGCCGTGCGCTACCTAAACAAAACGTAATCTTGTATATGATCCTCGCTGAAATTTGTTTCGATGCCATTCGGATTTTTCGTTCTGTTTTTCGCCACGGGCTATGTCTGAGTGCCACCCACACCCCCTCTGCTACTCCCCCCTTCCACCCCTTTATCTCCAACGCGGGCGACATTAAATGGCTTTCCTTTGCGATGCCGCTGTAACAGGGAAACTGCCCGCGCACACAAGGTGGTGCGTCGCTGTGTGTGCTTGCGGTTAGAGAGAGAGAAAGAGTCCGTAGAGATTTTCATATTTCACTGGCTCCAGACACGCTGACATCTCCTCGGATTTGTGTGCCAACGCAGCCGCTTAAAATGCAAATAGCTCTTAGCCACTACGGCAATTTAGCTGCTCGCGCGCTACACTGCGAGAAATACATCTGGCTCGTTCAGGCCTTTGTGACGGCGAAACATGATAATTTTCCCAGCAGTAATTCTTGTTTTGGATTTGCATTTTTAGTATGGCTAATGTACGAGTGTGTGTTTATGTCAGCTTATACATATAAAGCACGTCCTGTTACACAGTGCATGACAAATGAAGCACATGCAGTACGGCTATAACAGAATTCCTTGAGGTAGAAGGGTGGTGCATTGGTATGACCGCGGCTAATATAGTCACGAGCAATTTCTTAACCACTCCTTGCTCCCCCGCCACTTTCACCAATCCACACTGACCTGTGTGGTGAAGTATGATCCAAACAGTCCCCATGACTGATATCGAATGAAAGCATCAGTGGATTAATAAAGGTCTGTAAATTATTATTACTCCGACCACCATATTCCATTCGGTGCTGACTCAGCCCATCATCCCTCCCGGGGTTGATAAATTAGTACCACGATATAGGACTGTGCACAGGAGATGAGCACTGCCTCGATGCTCATTTGAGCAAAACTCTAATAAATCACTGACTTTTTAACACCGTAATTGACGCAACTCGCTAGTTAGTAACACGACGTCGTGTTCTTCGCGCGTCGCACCAATAACGTGGTGCTTTACCCACCGCATCTTATTATCTAGGACTTGCAGTGCTGCAGCAATAACGTGTTTTTCATCCCGCGCACCAGGCGAGAGCATTGCTATGCTGCCGGGAGAGACACTGGAGGCTTGGGAGCATGGTAGCGTTGGCCACAAATGACCGGAGGGAAGAAACCCCCCCGCCCCCGCCCTCCACGATTCGTCTCATCGATCAGTCGCTGCCGATAGCAGAATCCCACGCATGCCCTGCTCCTGCACAGACGTCAATCGTTTTTTCCAGCGGAAAGATGCGAGTGTGTTTGTAACGATAGGAGCAGATCCACAGGGTTAGGAAGTCTCGCGTAGGGCTGAGTGCCCGTGCTCATCATGGTGATCGACAACCCTCTGTCCATCGAGTGCTGGAGGAAGGCGTCTTAGCGTCGTGACGGTCACGGGCGGGGGTCGTTTTGACCATACTTCACCGTCCTGGTAAGTGCGGATTTGTTAAGGCAGAAGGCCAGGACCGATTTAGATGGCACTCCCCACCGACCATGTCCACGGTTCCAGATGAAATGCACTGGTTAAGAGTGCAAGTGCACGAACCGCTGTCCTACCACTCAACCCCATGGGGCTCATACTTGCATTTAATAAGTTCGATGCGTCTATTTTACCCTGAAATCGCCCAATGTCATGGAAGTGGCCATACAACGCAATGTAGGATAATAGTCTTGAGACGTCTACATATACACACACACACACATTTGAATGCACACATAAAACAACATGCACATTTTCAGTAATAAAACGACAGTGCCTGCGGCCCATTTATCTGATCGTCAACTGCCACGCAGCTCCTTTGTTGTGATTCCCACAGGAGGTGGCACCCTCTTCACTCGGCCCGTGGTCATGCCTTTGGCACACTTTCCCTGAGTTCGCAGCATTTCTCTGAAGGAAGTGCAAAAACACGCAAAGGCACTTTCGCGGGGTCATTAATAAAGCGTGGCACTGAACTATTTATTTTATCACGACGAAGCACTGCTCGATGCTCGTAGGCAAAATTTTAACTTTGGGAAAGGTGCCCATAACCACTGTATTCACGGGATTATGAGACGCATCAAATAAGTAGGACGCGCTCCCAAATTGATGCCCAGTGTCAATAAAGTTACACGATTCTGCACCAACGCGCACACCCACGCACGCACGACTACCGGATTTCAGGACGCATTCCCCAACGATGGCTCCAAACTACCGAGGGAAAAGGTGCGTCTTACAAATCTTGAGAATACGGTAAAAATATAAAATGCAAATGAATCGTCATGGTCACCATCAGCCATGAGCCGCCGTCTCTGAGCCGTCGCCATCTCTCATGATCCCGCGATGCAACGATACAAATGAATATCTCTTAAACGTTATTACGGTACCGTATATATCTTTTATACCACGTTGGTGCACGCCACTGAACAAGTGTTTGTGGAGCGCTCTTGGCCATGACATCGCTGCACCCCAGCAGACGTGCGTCTACAGACTCTGCTGATGACGATCACCTTAAGGTCGCAAACAATGCCCGATTATTCTAGTGGCAAAAGTAGCTGCATATGCTACGGGCCCCGCACTTTCAAGGGCCCCGCGCTAAATGATTTCAAGCTATCGATTCCGGTTCAGTGATTCTGCACTTGCTCTATTACTATAGTACTATACTGCCTTCAACTTTTATGAACGACTGGGTGTTTTAGGGTTAGCGATGTCGTATTATCTGTCTCTATAACAAATGAAAAAATACAATTACTTTACTATGCAAGTAAAAAAATTGTGTATCAATATTTACGTGTTTTTTTAATTTAGAATCATTTATAACATATGCTACAGGCCCCGCACTAGCTTAATCCGGCACTGGTCGCAACCAATCCGAGGTTTGCTTGCATATACAAAATTCTGCTGAGAAACACGAGTTCAGAAGGACTGCTCGGCTGATGGATCCAAACGTTATTTTAATCACACGTGGCAAACCAAACATGTGCCTGTTTTATTGAATAGTGTTTGGGATTTGTTTTTTATTTACTCAGCAACCACCAACTTGCATCTCTAGGACTCGGGAGGTT